GCAGATTTCATTGTTCTGAAAGGATGCCTTTATAGAGCATCTCATTTAGTGATACTATTATTATTTTCTCTTTTCTGAATTCTATTTCCAGAAATAATTCAAACTTGAACCTGTTAAAAAGAGAGAGAAAATGAATTAAATTCGCATTGACAAGCACTTTCATTTGCTTTTTTTTCCTGGAGTTGGGAGTGGCTTCTGGAGATGATCTTTGTCCTTGCTGTTTTCCATAACGAAGCAGAGACCAGTTTGACTGAACTGTAAATGCAACGCAAGAGGAATTGGGAACTTTGCCTTCAGGGAATGCACGAGTATTTTTGCACACATGTGTTTATGAGTGTGACCAGAGAAAAGTAGACACCCATCTGTACTTTGAGGAATCTCTTTGCTCTATTCATTATCGAATAGTTGGCAAAGACCATTTCAGTTCTATGTGGTAATAACAAGCAAAAAAAGAAACTATGTTGAGTATCGGGAAGCAAGGTGAAAAATCACACAATTTTGCCACTGTATAAGTTGGTCATTCTCCCAGATCTTAAACACTTTATGCAGATTTGGTGATGTTATATCTAGAACATACTGTAAAGGCTTGTAAGGATGGTTCAGAAAGCTTCCACAAAATAGTCTGATTTAGCCTGGAAGAGTGTGGTCTGCACTCACTGAATGAGTACATACATCATGTATAAAATCATGAGTATTGTAAAAAAAAAAAAAAAAAAAGACTAGAATATTTTTGGGCACTTTGGTAGCACAAGAAAACATTCAGTTGAATTGAGGCTGACATTTTTATAACCACAAGTTGACTTTTACATGAAGCACAAGTAAACTGTGCCCCCTCTCATTTGGGATGCAAAAATGTATGAATCATAGAATGATAGAATAGTTAGGGTTGGAAAGGACCTTAAGATCATCTAGTTCTGACCCCCCTGCCATGCATCTAAATACAAAACAATTGAAGAGATTTATGTAGAAGCACTGACTCCTAATAAACAGTCATACAGACTCTGTGCTTAAAAGTCTGAGAGAGTATCCTGGGAGCCCTAATGGTATTCACTTTTGTTCACAAACTTCCTTTTTTTTCTTAGGACCTTACTGTAGTTGCTGTCAGAGAAGGTAATTGAGAGACTTTGAGTCTTTCCCATTATGACTTTGTGATATTACTATTGTCAGTAGTATGGTAGGTTATGAAAGTGGTCTTAGGTAGGTCGAAGGTGTCATGTTGGAGAGGATTGAGAGTGCATTTGTGAGGAGGCTGTAAAGCTGAGCATGGGGGCTAAGCCTGGATTCTGGAGTGTTTCAACAGTAGTATAATAAATATGTTTCATTTAACAGCAAAAAAAAATACTGCATTTTCATGTCACATACCTTGTTCTTTTTGTGATAGTATGTGCACGGGAAGGCTGAAGAGCAGTATATATGCCTATTGAAACATGGAGCCAGTTGCAGGCTGTGTTGGCATATAGTGTATTGGCATATAGCCTTCAGTACCTTGCTCACGCCAGAAAACACAGCTTTGGAAGGGCTCAGGACATGACTATGAGTCTACTAGCTAAAGTGTGCCTTCTGTACACTACCTGAAGAGAAGTCTGTGGGTATTAATTTAGATATCTTGCTTTAATTTACTGCGACCTCAGTGCAGAGCTTCTCAGTAGCTGTGACACCCACAGATGACATTGTTTCAGAATAAAGGTTATAGAAGTATCAAAATACTTGCTAGGTTTGAGATGATGTGGAGGTCATTCCTTTAACAAGTATGAAGTTTTCTGGTCAGCAGTGCCTAATTTATGCTAAGTCAGCAAGTGTGATGTTTGCACGACTTGAACATCAGTCCAAAATGTCATGTCTAGGAGTCGCATTGGACTGTTTACGTGCATGTTAGACACTGCTCCCTAATGAACTATCCTCGTCACTGATACTACCAGTGATGTCAAAATAGCAAGTTAGGAGACCTGAATCTTCTGCAATATCTTTTCTAAATTGATGGTTGGTGTTTTGTGAAGTGATTCATCTTGGTTTTGATTGTGCTGAAATAGAAGATAATGGCTTGCAGCATCACAAGTTTTGCAAACCTTTTCCAAAGGTACTGGGGACCTTTTTGTCAAGTGGAACCTTAGTATTGTATTTCTGTGGTGGTTTTATTTGTGCATTGTACTCAGACCTAGTTCCTACTTCAGAACAATAATTCTGTGACATTCATTTATTTAGATACCCTTAAATTCAGAGAACAGTTCTGTGTGTGCTTGGCTCTGTTTAGGTACATTTTTCACATCGCTGTGAATTGTTCTTAAGGTACATTAAATCTAGTTCTTAAATTATGTGACTTATGCCAATAGTTTGACATGGCTTAATTGCTATACAGTTCATTCTGAAAAGCGTATTTATTCAGAAGGTAATGAATCCTGTTTAAACATAGTCAACTGCATTGACTTTTTCCCAGTTTTATCTTCTACTTACTGCTCAAACATTTGGTAACAGCCTAAGCAGGCCATATCTAAAGGAGTTCTGTACCTGTTCTAAGTTCAGTGTGATGGGAAGACTGTTCTGTCTGCAGCAGATCACAGAATACCAGATTGGTAGGGGTCCTCAAGTATCATCTGGTCCAACCTTTCCTGGCAAAAGCACAGTCTAGACAAGATGGCCCAATACCCTGTCGAGCTGAATCTTAGAAGTATCCAATACTGTGGAGTCAGCCACTTCTCTGGGGATATTATTCCAAATGGCTGATGGTTCTCATTGTGAAAAATTTTCCTTTTGTGTCCAACCGGGATCTCCCTGGGAGTAACTTGTACCCATTACCCCTCATCTTTTCCATGTAACCCCTTGTAAAAAGAGTCTCCATCGTCTTTGTAGCCATGCGGTGATAAGGTCTCTCCTAAGCCCCCTTTTCTCAAGACTGAACAAACCCAGTTCTCTCAGCCTTTCCTCATAGGCTAGATGTTCCTGTATGTCCCTACTCACACTGAAAAATTACCCTTTAATACAAAAACAGGTCTTGATAAGTTAATGCTTTTGTTTTGCAGTGTGTGATACTTACTAGCTTGTGGTATGGGATGCTAAGAAAGTTCCCAGGTCAGTACTTTGTATCAGGTCCGCTCTGGTTTAGCTTCATCTTGGCTGGTAGTTTGTAGGGGTTGTGGGGTGGCTTGTTGTTGCTCTGTCTCTAAAAATGTCATCGTAGCTCACAGCTTGGGTGCAAAAATGTTTCCCTTCTAAACCCCACTACACAACAATAACATTCGGTTTCAGAAAGAAAAAAAATACACAAAAATGAGTGGATTTATTAAGGAAATGACCCAGAGGATGAAAAGACAGCGATTCTTTTACTATTCCTCGTGTGTGTTTATATTGAGCCTCAACCAAAACAGTCTTAAAAACTTAATAAAAGAATGGCATTACCAAAGCTAATCAAAGAATGGAAACGCACCCAAGCAAAGAAAACAAACTGATAAGTCAAATATAAAGGCATAATAAGGCACACCTAAAGGGATCCTTAGAAACAGCTGATGGCATCAAAACAGTAATGTATCTTTTCTGGTGTTTCAGGAAGAAATCTGGTGTTTTCAGGAGTTTGCTTCTGGTTAGTTAAGATGGTTCAAGGAAAAAGAGAGTGTAGCAGAAAAGTGGGGTTTTTTTTTCTTTTTGTTGCTGGTATTTTCTGTGGAGGAGTTAATGGCATATTGGATGTATTGCTATCATGAGCTTCTTGAGAGGGGAGTCTGGCTGTATGGGAGCAGGTGAGGAATGATGTGGACACATAGAGGAGGTAAGACACGTGGAATAGCCAAGCCTCCCTGTGGCCCAGAGTCTCATTAGTATTTTAGCAGCAGGTTTTAAAATTGCTATAAAGTGTGAAATTCCTTTCATCAGATGCTTACAGTTTCTCCACTCTTCCCTTTATTCTGATTCAGCTTGTTTGTATTACCTTTTTTGTAAACTAAATCTGGGAAGTGATCATTTAAAGGCAAAAATGCCCTTTTCAGGGACCTTTTTTTTTAATTAGATTATTTCAGGTTTTGATCAAAGATCAAATAGCTTTTGGCACTTGCACTATAGTTGCTCAATTTCTCCTTCTGTTTTTCTCTCTAATCATACTTTGTCATTTTTACGGTGCTTATACTGATGGGGTTTTGTTTGTATTTTATAGTGACTACAGTTCCTGTCTCACCTCTTTGATGGAAGAGGACTATAACCCAGAAGTGAACTCTCCACTGTAGAACAAGAAGCTCTTGTGGAATAATTGTGTCCCTTTAAAAGCAGCAGCCAGTCTACAAGAAATAGAGTAGAAGAGATTATTTTTGGACCTGGCATTTTTTTTTTCATGTGACCTATGTTTCAGCATGTAAATGGTGAACAACGAGGAAAACATTTGTGCCTGCTTTTGAGCTTTATATCAAATAGTGCTTAGCTCTGTGGAGCATCAACCAACTTAAGTGAAGACCAGAGTATATCCTAACTTTCATTTTTTAAAAATAGTATACCTTTTTTTAGCAGATGTATGTGATAAAAATGAAGTTTATATTTTAAGAGCACTTGGGCAGATGCTTTTTGTTTAAATCTCAGCATTTGGGGCAGAAGTTTTTACGTAACATCGTCACTTTTCCAGGGAGTTCAGGCTGATCTGCTGCAGATCATGAATTATCCAGCAGACTTGGGTGTATCTGTTCAGTATTAACCATGGTGTTGCTCTGAATGCTGTCATGCACACTTGACAAACCTTTTTGTAATGTAAAGCCTGACTTCTGCATTACCGCGACCAGAGGAATTTAATGAGGTGAACGTGGTCGTGGGTTTTTTAAAAATATAAATTACCTTCTTGGGTATCTTTTTTTTTTCTTTTTTTTTTCTTTCTTTTTTTTTTTTTTTTCTTTTTAAGTGAGAGAACAAAAAGAGGTTAAAATGAGCAGTTGAGGGGGTGAAGGGCACAGTTGGCACGAAGTGCGGCCTCTCGTGCTCTGCTTCGAGACGCACTATTGCCTCCAGGCTGGCCTTAGAGCATACTGGGGAAGGAAGGAACCCACAGGTCACTAAAGCACAGAAACTGAGGACATTGGACTGCAGAGGCCAAACTCAGGGTAAGTGACCATATGTACTTATTTCTTTGGTTATATAGTGTTGACTTGTTCATAGGTAAATTGAAGTTTAAAAAGAAGCAAAATGGTAATCTGGAGAAGCTTCCATAGAAAGGCATAATTCAGTTATACAGAGCAATAATGAAATTTTCATCATTTTGAGCAGTGGAAATTGCTATAACATTGGAAAGCGCAGTTCAGTTTCAGATTGCTCAGTGAGACACCTCAGCTGCTCTTTAGTTGAACTTCCATTGAGATCCTTCAAATAGCTTGTTTTTTCTTCCTAACCATTTGATTTCTTAGCTATGAAAGCAGCTTCAGCATGGGATACCCTGTACCTGAAAGTTGGGGGACCTGGATATGATTTTTATTTGGAGGTGCAGGAGCTGGCATATGGTTGTTATCAGGTCTCTGATCTGCTCTCAGCGTCCAGCATCACTGGTTTTGTCCTATTTGATTTAGACCCTTTGGAATAAAACATGCAGTGATCACCCCTTTGTAGACTGAGACAGTGAGCAGTGAATTTGAACCCCACACTCTGTCATGTCTTGATTTTACACATTCGTGCATTGTATGGCTTTCATATGCTATTTGATCTACTTCCTTCCCACCCTCACACCCATCCTATCATGAACGTTGTGGGTGTGCTAATTGTAAACAGGAAATAACTGGGAATGTTTAGGTTCTTACCTGTTCTGGTCAGAGGAACAAAGTCAGTAGGGAAAAAAAATGTGGAAGTATAATATGAAAATACAGCACTTTTCCCCTCCTGTTCAGGCCAAGCTTTGGGAAATAAATGGTATTAGTATTTCAGTTTGGAAAAGATGACAGGTAAGAGAATGTTCTTTTCATTTACAGATCCTGGCCATGAGGTTTGATGCCTCATTTTATTGAAGGGAGACACTGGACCTAAATGGCGCAGCATGACTTTGTTCCTGCCTGGCTTAACTTCTCAACACCACAGTCAACCAAGGTAACATTAACCCACATTACCTCCTTTTACAGCTATGACAGGAATAACAATTTTAAAATTGCCCCAGAGTTTTGTTGAAATTAAAATGTTTAACTTCTTTTGTGTTTATAAAGAAGGCTTTTGGAAACTTACTGACATGAACATAATTTTTGTTGTCTTTATTTCAAAAAATACATCTCTTATTTCAGAGGAGGAACAATCTCTGTTCAGACATGGAAGTAGTTCATGTCTTTGCATTGATACTTGAGTGGGATCCCAAATAGAAAATCATTAAAGAAATGGTTCTTAATCTGTGGGAGTCAAGACTTGAGCTGCCACTTATTTACAATTCAGCATATAATTTGGGTTTGATTTATGAAGATAATCTGACACTTGCTGAGTACTATATTGATGATGAGCCCTGGGGCTCTAGCTCCAAACTCAAAAATACTCATTAGTTTTTTGCAACTTCAAAATGAGGGCAGTTTGCCAGTCACCTTTCTAAGACTGATTCCAGAGGCGCCTTAGGCTGACCCACAAAGTGTCGTTTGGGACTTTAACAGTTTGTGTTCACTTATGCATGGCAGAGAAGAAGAACGTTTTAATAGCAAAACAGATCATGATCGACAACATTGATGAACAAGAAAGAATATGGCTTTCACCTTCATGCTTAAATATGAGGACACACAAGTAATTTAACGATTGTGTTGATCCATTTAAAACAAACCTTGCTATATTGAAAATTAGTAGAGGAATGGGGGGGTTGGGTTTTATTGTTTTTCAATTAACAAAATGTCAATGTTGGACTAACAGGCTCCTGGAATGCCCTAATGAATGCTTCATTAAATCACTTTTTACTTTCTGCAGTCCCCTGCAGCCACTTTTGAGAAACATGGAGAGCATCTTCCACGGGGAGAGGGCCGCTTTGGGGTGAGCCGTAGGAGACACAACTCTTCTGATGGATTTTTCAATAATGGGCCCCTCCGAGCTGCAGGAGGTGAGTGAGAAGGATCAGAATGCAGCCTGAGAGCAGGCATTTTGGAGTGTTCTACAGACTGAAGAATTGTGCAGAATATAAACAACGTTTTTACCAAACTCTCCATTTTCAAAATATCATACGAGAAACTTGTGCTGTTCTCTTCTCCCATGCCATGTGCTCAGGCCTGAGGGTTTTTTATGATAGCTGTATGTGCATTGTGTAGCTTGGTTTGTTTGCTGATAAAATCACACAATAGCTTAATAAGTTTGGCATAGTAGTTCCTTAGTGAACACTGAATTAACAAGAAGAACAGCAGCCTGATATTTCCAGTCTTCTGCACGCTGTGTTGACTTTTTTAATTGCATACTTTTCTTCTTTTGTTTAGACTGCTGGCATCAGCCATCCCTTCTCCGCCACGATTCTGTAGATTCTGGTGTTTCTAAAGGAGCTCATGTTGGGCTTTCTGGCAGTCAGCCTGGCTGGCATGGTCCCTCACGGGGCCATGATGGTGTGAACCAGCGTGGTGGAGGAGGAACTGGAGTTCATCGCCACTGGAATGGCAACTTCCATTCTCGGAAAAGTTCCGCCTTTCAAGAAAAGCTGCCTGTTGAATCCAGAGAAGAGAAGAAGGAAGATAAAGAGCAGTTGCAATTTGAGGAAGAAGACTTTGTAAGTTGTAGCTTCACACTAGAAGTAGCAGCTGTGGGAAGTGGCTTTTCAGTTCTCATTTATTAGCGTTGATAGGTGGGAAGGATCTAGAGTTGCATTCCATTCCATATTTGAGATCACAGTAGATTTAACAAAATTATTCCAGTGCTGACAGGATGCTAATTGGTACCCAAAGTCCTCAGGACTTCACGACCTGTTGGATTATGGGTTTTTTAGCACATACATTTTACCATATGGTTATTGTAAACTGAAGACTGCATTGTAACACATAAGCCAGATTGTCAGCAAAACCCATAAGGTGGTACCTGAGTCTGCCCAGGAAGAGTAGTTGTATTGACTCCATGGCTTTGCTTACAAAGCCTTATTTTTTTTTTCTTTTTTTCTTTTTTTTTTTCCCTTTTTTTGCTCCTAAATACATCTATTCAGCTTATCTTCAGTCCGCCTGTTGTTCCCGTCTCCTGCATTGTGGTCCATATTGGTGTTTGTGATAACCTTTCCAAGCTTGTTCATGACATGCTCAGACCTTTGCAACCTTGAGTCTTCTGGAATAGTATGTTGTTTAGCAGAGATGTTTTCCTATCTCAATCTGTGGATTCGTATTTCTTGAGTCATTTCTTCCATCGGTATCTCCAGTTCATGTTCTTCTTATCCAGCATTCTGATTCATGTGGTATTATCAGTATGATAGGTTTTTTTACATCTTGGCTCTATTTTACTGGAATATCTTTAGTTTTCCAAACTTTACCCAGTAGTACTTGGACTCACATTTTTCATCCTTACCATGTGCATTCCTTAATGCTATAGCTTTGAGACATACACACCTTTTGTGCTTTTTCTTTCCAATTAAATTCTTTTTCTGTCCCCGAAGAGTATTTTATTGTTATCAGACCATGCATTTTGCTTTTTGCATCTTGTTTCTTGCTATCTGGAGTCTTGTAATAAGATCAGCATCATTTGTAAGGTTCCGGTAGCTCAGTCTCTTCATCTAATGCTGTTCCTCTGACCTCATCTCCAATGCTAAAGCCACTGCTGCCTCCAGTAATGAGAGTTTTTTGTGATAGTGTGCACAGTTGTGTGTATCACCATGTTGAGCTTTTTGCTCTCCTGTTCAGCATTTATCTCTGGGAAGCTGTTTACAGCTGAAGTTGTCATGGCAGTTTGATGGCACTACTTCTGTCAGGAAGTTAGGAATTGGAGTGAAATATATGAATGCCTGCAGCTGCTTCAGGCCCAAATCTAGAGTCTACACTTAAATTGCCACAGGAGCCAGTTTAATTTAAGCTGCTAGTTTTTGTCACTGAAGTGTCTGGGGACTGATTGCATGCTCTTGTTCAACTGCTTCTGCTGGGAGTGGTAGTGTGCATGACGGGGCGGTTAACACCTGGAGAGCAGTGACAAAACTTGTGTGTGGATTTCTGTTAATCTGATTTCTCAAGAATACTGTAATTCAGAATTTCTGTAAGACTCTAGGCTGTCAAAAGCCTGATGAAATATAAAGTTACTGTAATGATTGCAACTGTGCACTGTTGTAGTCTATCTTGGTCTAAATCTTTCTGCCACATACTTCTTCATTCTCTTCTTCAGTGCCTTGACAAGTGCTTTTCCCCAACTGCAGGGCTGTTTCTTCTGTAGTTACTTCCCCCAGTTTTTTTCTAGATGAGAATACCACACACTGTCTAGTAGCAAGCACTGCTAAATAACTCCTGTATTGTCTTTGTCATAGTTGGTGAAACTAATGTATGCTGTGGTTAAGTATGTGGCTGTTAGGCCTGTGTGGCTGATGACTTTTCCTGAAAGGCCTACAAAACAGTTTGTTAGTCTTAAGTTCTCCTGTGATGTGAGCACTCCTGCTATAAAACTGACCTGTACCCAAAAAATGAAGCACTGAAACAGAGGAATTTCTAAGGTCTGAGGCAGGAATTTATGCTATGGTGTGACATTTTTTCCTAACTTTTATAAACAGGAAAAAAAATAAACATGAATGCCTACTATTTCAGAAGCTCATTATTAGAGACTTACGCTGTTGGCATAGTAACTAACATATGAAGAATTCATTAAAAAGAGGAAAAGGATGGCTTTATTTTGAACTGGTGTTATTTGAGATGGGATAAGAGGAATAGCTAATCAGGAAAGATTGTCATTGAATGTTGAGATTTTCTGTACTCTGCTTTGAGCTTGGACATGTCCTTAGTTGTTCTACTAAGTTGAATTCTGATACTGAATCAAAGGTAAGTCTGCAGAGGGCACTGAGTATGCATGTGGTATTGTCCTGACAAGTGGACACTGAAGCTTAACCTAAGTTTACATGAAACTTCTTTTGTCAATAAATGTATATATATGCATTATTCCTTTACATCAGGAGTCTAGTGTTGCTTTTGGGTGGTGGTGTGTTGTGGAGAGTTTATTATTATATAAAAATATTTAGGAAATTAGACTAGAATCTTCAAATACTGATGATGTGGATTCTGTTTTATAACTTGAGCTGCTGGTTAAATACTTAAATCCTTCATGTGTTTATTGGTTGGTGGAATCTACTTAATTTTACAGTAGGAGACTATAAAGGGCTTATCCTGAACCCGCTGTTAGTTCTGTTGGAAATACAGCAGAAGCCAAGGAGAATACAAACTTGATTTTTAGATGGCTTGTGACAAAGCACTTTCTTCTAATTCAGGTGCTGTTCAGAGAAATTTACCTGTACTCTAGGTTCCTAGAAGCATAATGTTATGTTAATGTTGAATTACTTTGTTATGTGCAATATAATGATACACTGATTTGCATTGTCTTTCTTCAGCCATCTTTGAATCCAGAAGCTGGAAGACAAAACAACCAGAACAAACCTTTAGGGACACCTTCTGGAGTATGGGGTAGGTAAAGGTATTTACATTGCTGTACAGAAAACCTGCTGAAGCAGAAAGGTGTAACCAATGTTTATATGGGGTTTTTTTTCACTCCAAAATATTTTAAACACTTAAGTGGAACTTTGTTGTTTTCCTCCCCCAATCTTCACTAATCTCTTGGCTTTTTTGTCTACTTGAAACTGTGTTTGTCTTGTCATTGAAAACTACTGGTGGCAGTAAAGTCACTGTTCTGCCTTTGTTTCCTGGCTTAGTACAATCTTATAATTTCAAGACATCACTTGAAGAGCAGAGCAGATTTGGGTGAACTGGACATCAGTTCCTGACTTGTGATGGTCATATTTGAAACAGGCTTGCTTTTGATTCAGATGTGATATGCAAATATATGAAAAATAAAAACAAAGGAAACAAGGTACCAGTTCTAGCAATTAAATTCAGGTTTGTTAAGATCTAGTTAGAATGTAGCTACATCAGTTGGGTTACGTACAGTGAATAGTACAAATGCCAAAAAAAAAAAAAAATCAGAACCGCTTCTTGCTGTAGTACTGGATTGTATTCTTTTTGCATGTTTGTCAGATAGTTACTGTTCTGCTGAAAAAAATGACGACAGTCAGCATTTATGTGGCTTTTAGCTGTTTTTAAAAGCACTGTGTCTTTCGAGGTATAAGTTATGCAGAGTATTTTTGCTGTGTTAATGAATTAACAAAGCAGATCCGTGGTTGTTCAAAGAGATGCTAATATGTGCTCTGATTCCTGTAGTATCGTGGAAGGCTGTTAGCCAATGTCACTGTAGGTTTTTTCCCTTCAGCATCAAAGGAGCTGTTGTGGTTAAATGAAAAAAGATTGGACTTTGACATCCTCATCCAGTATCTTTGCTCAAAGCTGAAACGAAAGAACAGCTAATAGCAGTCTCAGAATCAGACATGTAGCAACTAAGATTGAGGGGAGAAACCAAAGCAATATACTGAAGGTGTTAGGAAACTGAACATCTGTATTTCAGAACCTTTCTTGTTTTATTCTTACAGAAAACCCCCCTAGTGCCAAGCAACCTACCAAGATGCTGGTCATCAAAAAGGTTTCAAAAGAGGATCCTGCCGCCGCCTTCTCAGCTGCATTTACATCACCTGTTTCTCACCTGGCAAATGGCAACAAAGCCACCACCATTGTCCCAAGTGTCTACAAAAATCTGGTTCCTAAACCTGCAGCTCCTCCTTCCAAGGTACAGGGCTTTCCAACAAAGTTAGTGAACTGCAGATCAAGGGAGAACTCTCTCCCTTGGCAAGGGAATCAATTCCCTAACAAATAGCAGGAGCTGGAATCCAGTAATTTCTGGGGTAGTGGCCTTTAAAGTAGAGATCTGTTTATTACTAAAATTGTTGTTCCCTGTTAAAATGCTATTTGGTCTTGTCCATACAGAGAATTAACTTCTCTTCTGACTATACAAATGTCTGTTTGAATGTCTTGTGTATTAGACAAACCCTTATCTAAATTAGACAAAACAAGCAATGCTGAAGTGCAGTGTGTGCTAAGATGTGCTTGAATTGTTCACATAACTACCTTGAAAAAATCTTTATTTGGGTTATAGCACTTCGGTGTGTTGAAAACACGATTGAGGCGAAGATCAGATTAGATTGTAACTTCCTGCAGTTTAGCTCTAATTTAGTTGAGCCTTAAAGACAACCTGGAAAAGTAATGGGATTTGTGCTACAATTCTTTTACTGAAAGAAATACAGGAGTGTTGAAAAAACCCAAAGTATTTTCTTTTGTTTCATAGTTCTAGGCTTTATCTTGCCCTTTTTTCCAGAGAATCTACGTGTATAGATGCCCTAGAAACTTTGTAGGATTGATAGTGAAGGTATTTAAGAAGCTAAAGAAAAATACTCGCTAGGTGGTTCTTTAAAAATGTGTCAAAATACTTTGAGTTCTAAACTTTAATTTATTAATTACTAATGCTGGCTGCGACATTCCAGCAAAATCTTCCCTATGATTGGAGTAGATCAGTCTTACCCACTTCAAAGACAAAAACAAAATAAGAAAGATTAACAACTCTTTTGTAAGAAAGCAAGTTTAGAGCTTCTTTCCCATTGGTAGGTTTTTCTTAATTCAGGCTAAATTCTGCCAGCTACAGGAAAAATCCTAATGGATAAAATGATTATCAAATAATCTTGTATAAACCCTTAATCTGACAAACAATCTCCTCCTCAGTGAGATGGGGTAAACTGACCCCATTTAAAAGGCTATTAATAATAGAGTTTTTCACTTTGCATGGTTTTCAGTCCATAATGTACTTGTTTAGAATAGTTAAACAAGATGCAGCTTGTGATAGATACGGAGTCTTCTGTGGCTTTTATTTTTGCTTGTACAGCTTGTTTGATGTATGTGTGTGTATAGTCTTACCTGGCTTTAGTCTGGATGTTTTTAATGGTCTTTGAAACAAAAAGCCAAAAGTCCAGTTTCTGTGCAGGCTGTTAGATTCTCTTTGATTGCTTCAAAGTAAACAGAATTTTAGTGAACAGGAAT